CCTCCTCCTCCTCCTCTTGTTGTTTTTGTTGAAATGTAGTGAGTCAGCCGTCTGTCTCACCTCTGTGTGACCTTATTAATGAGTGTTGAGCCACGAGGCTGGACCCCCTCTGAGGAGGTCACATCTGGACACTTTATATAGAAATACATATCTGTCTCTCTCTCTCTTTCCACCTTTCATCTGTCTGTCTCTCACTCCGAATTTTGTTCAGTTTTTGTTTATTCTTTTCTCTTTTTTTATTTTATTTAATTAGATATCCACTTTTCTTGCTCATCTTTTCTCTGTATTTTCTTATTCTCCATTTCTCTCTTTATATGTGCATCATATATTTGCTTCTCTTCCTCTTTCTGTGGGTCCTTTCCTCCTTCACTTTTTCCTCTCTCCCTCTTGTCCTTTTCTCCTTTTCCTGTCCTCTGTCTGTTTTTTATTTCCTCCCCTCCGTCTCTGTATCATCCACCTCTCTTCTCTTCTCTTCTCTGGCCCTCCTGTCTCCCTCTCTACACCAGGAGCCTCTCACCTCAGCTGGGTGTGGTGCCAAGGTCGTCCCCCTGTCTCTCCCTGCTGGGTCTGGGTCTTTGTGCTCAGAATGTTTAAATAGAGAGGAGAGGAGTGGAGGAAACAAAAGAGGAAAGGAGGAAACGAAATAAGAGAGGAAAGAGGAGAGGAGGGGAATGTAGTGACGCAAATGATCACCTTCAGAAAATAACAAAAACTTAAACAAGATCATAGGGTTGTAACTAACATCATTGTCAATGAATCTGTCCATTTACAATTAATCCACTATTTAGTTTATAAAATGTCACAAAATAGTAAAAAATGGCCCAGAACAAGTAGACACCTTTAGATATTGTCCAACAGTCCAAAGATATTTATTTTATGATGGTAATAAGAAATCTAAGAAAGATTAGCAAATCATCACATCTGAGAAGCTGGTAACAAAAAATGTTTAAAATGTTTGCTTGAGAAAATGACATAAATGATTAATCCGTCATCGATACTGTTGGTTCATTCGCTTTCTTTTGTTTCTTTCTATCTGAATCACTTGAATAGAGATAGAGGTTACATACAGCCACCTGTTACCACATGACCTAAGTTGGTCACAAAGCGACACCAGCTCTATTAACTGAATGAAGACCATAAGATGCAGTTCGAAGCTCTGAAAAGCTATATGTTTTAAGCTTTGAGTTCTTCACGAAGTGTTCCAGAAGGTCAAGAATCAACTTCCATGCTCAAGTGCACATTTTAAACCATAAATATAAAACATCTATACCAATATACTTTGTTCAAATACGATTTCATTACAGATTTCCAAAGTGATTTTCAGGTTACAAATCAAGATATAAAACATTTAAAAAAGACTAAATGAAGAGAGAAAAACACGAGTCGAAGTAAGCAGCCATAATACCACAATAATTACACCCAGGTCCATAGGCACAATTATTTCAAATAAGAATAGGGAATGACATATATTAAAATAAAGGTATTTTTTCTTTTAATATCCCTCATTTTCTGCTCCGCCCTCAGTGATTTTGTTTCTATTGTCTCTGCTGATTGAAACTCAACAGCCACCGTCTCATTCTCTGAGTATTTTGAATGGATGTCATGCATTGATTAGTGCTGCATTGACTTCAGTGCATTAACGCGGACGCACAATGTAAGCCACTGCGGAGTATTTAGTATATTATTGTTTTGAAGGGGCTGTGTATCACATGTAAATTGTCTGTGTAATTAGATCTGACATAGTAATAATAGGTCTCGTCAAGGCGAGAGGGCGTAGGGTGGAAATGTAAAACGTACACTCTGAAAGCGGCGGTTCATCGGGGAGCACTTCAGGGTTCCTGATCGGGGAGGGGGGAAATGTCTTGGAGTATTCTGTGACGAACGCTTTTAGGTTTCTTGAAGAACTGTCAGAGTTAATTACCAGTTTTTGAAGAGGCTAATAAAGGAAATAGTGAAGCTGAGGCACAACCTACTGTGGGTCTTCAATTGTAGAGGCAGGTGGTGTTAGTGGGGTTCAAGCCCACATACAGAGATTTTGCTATCCACCTGAATTTACTGCCAAAGTCCATCCCATCCATCAAGAAAAAGACTGTGGGAGACAAGAATTTTTAATGTTTTTCCTTGTCTATCTATTCGCACAGGTGTTTGCATGTGCTAAAGAAAACTACCATCTAGGCTAGATCCACCTGCTACGTGTAATGCTACAATGGGTGCGCTGGGTTTACCTATGCAACAAAAAACTCTGTAACCTGAAAGCTAACATACTTCATGCATTGTTGTGATTGTTCAACAAGTAGTTTGATCAGGTTTGCAAACCTTGATCCCTAAAATCAGGCGGACCTTCACATGTAATCCAGAAGACCTCCAGTGTTATAGCAGAACATCCTTAAAAGAAGCTTCCACACCTTAACCACCCAAAAAGTCTCCTTCATCCTTCTATCTATCTATCTATCTA